AACGGCCAAAGAATGCCCGTCATACTCGTAACTGTAGTCGATATCGCCTACCTTAGTTACTTATTGTAACTGGAAGGCCTGATTATGAGGCTTTAACCCTGCTCAGTAGCCCAGTCCAATGGCCAACGACGGTCCGTCATACCCTTAACTGTACTCGATGTCACCTGCTGAGGCTACGTCCAGTTTTGCGGGGCCCACTCACATGCTCGTGACTGACTATAATGTCTCAACTATACATAGTAGACTAATCCAGCGACGGGCGGCGGTCCTTCATATCCATACGACGTCTACCTGCCAACACCCCATGCATGAACAATACACAACGATCTTCAACAAATCATGGTTCAATTTATTGGTTGCATCGGTACAAACATAATGTGAAGCTAACGCAGTTCCTAGCTTTTTACTTGACAGGGTTTATAAAAAAATGTATGATCAATTGTGCACATTTTCCGCGATATCACTTAAAACACATGATTAAACACAGTTGTAGTGGCTAGCCCATCAAGTGATTAGTAAAGCCCTTTGTCCAAAATTACTGGTCGGTGTCCGCGCTGAATCTGGAGACTTAATGTTGTAAACTCACTACTCGCTCAGTTAGTCCTATAGGCGATATCGAGGGAGCCTTGTGTACATCGATGTTTCGAAAGCGTGATTCGGCAACCGCACGCATTATTGGGCACTTGTGTCGGTGTTTCGAAAGCATGATTCGGCAACCGCACGCATTATTGGGCACCGCGAGGGTAAAGAGGCGCGTTTGCTTGGCAGTCGTAAGACCAGGTGGTGTAGACCTGAGCCTTAGGAACTCAGGGCTACACGTGATCTCAAACGTCCACACGAGCTATGGCGTTGAGACAACCGTTGTCAAACCCCTTAAAACGCACTGGTTCCGCTTCTCAAACAGTCCAGGTCTCAGCCATACAACAGAACAGCCCGTACTGCAGCCTGACACACGTTACTTGACATTCACAGCTCTCCCTCTTCGACGCCATAGGTGTTCCAAATTGACAAACGCGACCAGAGCATTGCAGGTTCGTGCATTGACCTCATCTGTCACACTATAATCAAAACCAATACAACTTAGAATGTGTGTAAAACGCTGCACCACGCTACCCATCCAACCGGATCAGAAAAATATATTATATAGGCTTTGTTCAAATTCTCAGGATTTCCTCGGCCAACCAAAAATATCCTTCTCCTCACAGAATTGCACATCCAAGCCAAATCATCTCAAAAATGAAGTCCGTTATGGGGTTTTCCAGAAACCGAATCATTTCAGTGCAATTATGGCATGGCACTGCCATACCCAGCTTGATACCACATCTGCAAACATGCCTTTTCCTCTCTTGGCTTAACGCTATCGCCCACTTCTTCCATTACATGCAACTACAAACAAACTCACGTTTCATTCTGACTGTAATCTTCTGATAACGCCTGACGGTACACCATCCCTCATTATGATGACGTGACACTTTGTGGGTACAAAGTGCACACCAAAAGACATCATCATCATTATTGATAGAGAAGCAAGGGATGCTAACAGACTCACTAATCACACGTGATATGATGCTTCGGACGCAAATCGTTTTGAACGGCTTCAGGCTTTTCTTTGGACTGTAACAGCTTTAGTATGAGGGCAATTCATCGTACAAACACGCGGCAAAATCGGAAATCTTTGGTCCCATGTCTCTGCCAGCTCTGAGCTACCTTAGTTCCATCTATCCAGCCCACGTCCCTCGTAATCACATATGACAACTGCAGTTCGCATCGATCGCATTCCTGAATATTGGCTATTACTCTTTAATCGGACAGCGTTGTACCATTGAAGCAGTTAGAAATCGTGACAACTTTTGACTGTCTGTTATTTGGGGAGGCATTCTAGCTCACAACAAACTTCTTTCTAGCAGCCCCTTTAGATACTTTTTCCTATCTTGAGTCCCCAATGTAGACGTGTCTCCCTTCTTACCTCGCCTGAATGGCAGTAATGAATCACTGTGAACCTTCGATGGACCCAAGATTATCCTAACTACCCATGAAGAACATAAACGGCTCATCCAAAATGTTCATGTACGGGGCTGTCCATGAACCCAGGTACGGCGTCGCGATGACGGTACGCGACTATCATACCCAGTCTGATGGCTTTCCCGTAGTTCATTATACCTCTAATATTTCCCAGACGAGCGTGTTACCTACGAGACCGGTTCAGTCCGTTTAATTTGTGCAAGGATTAATAACAGTGGCTGCTTTGCTGTTACGTCTGATTGTTCCGCTCATAAACCCAATAGTTCACCCAACAGCAATATAGACGGCTCGGTGCATCAGTGAAGTCAAACTTTGCCCCAAGCCAGGTATAAATTTTACTGGCCATCATTAAAAAAAAACTTACTAGCTATGACGATTTCCTGATGAACGGCGGGACGCTTGCCACAACCATAGAAGAATCTTCCACATCCAGACAGCGAGTGACCACCACAATTTGAGTTTGTACCGACGTTATAGGCGTGATTATTGTCTGATACGTAAGAAAACACGCGGAGAGAATCTTTTTCGCAAAATTTCCCACCGTTCTTGTAGATACAATGCTCCAAGCCACCGGCACCGCTAAAACACATATTTCGCTCCCAAGGTGGACTACGAGTTCGTTTGAACAACTTTAATAAAGCCGCGGCCGCGCGGGAGATCTTATGTGCCGAATAATTATCATCAACTGTTGAAACATTACGTTAAAGTATTTCTTTTCGAACCACAGTTTCAGAAGAATTTCGGGTATGGGTCTATGACGCGTCTAAAGTATCTGGAATCCACTATGTGAACTGAGAAGATACGGTTGGGGTATGGTTCGCTGTTAGTGTGTCACTGCTCCCAGATAGAAGAAAGGAATGATGCGTAGCAAAAACCGTCACCAGGCGCTCGGCCTGCATTCTGGCATTCTGGGAAGAGTTCATTTAGATCTTATATGCACGTGATCGCTTCGAGGAATAAGAAGGACCAGCGTGTGCATTATGTCGGGCTGATGGAGTGGAATTGGGTTACTGCAACCTCGGCGGAGAGGAAGTGGCAACAGCCTTGCACGTCGACGTTAGCCGTGAACCTTGTAGGATGTCTTCTGGCTTCCCGGCCCATCTAAAAGGCCAGAAAAAAGACGATTGTCTTTCGCCTGTATTTCGTAGCGTGGCCAGGTGAATGACAACTGAGTCGAGTTCAATCCAGCAAATACGGGGAAACTATGGCCTCGCTGTTCTATGGAATTCATGAATAAACGCCCGATTCGAAGCCCCCAGTGATGGTGGATGCACCCGCGCTACTTGAAGAGTGGTGAATGTACGAACGCAACATGACGTAACATAACGGCGGCCCACCCGACCCGTCCACCACATGAGGTATTCATCCCTCGTGCATGCTTCCAGATCCGCAGGGTGACAAGCCAATTGCCGCTGTTGCATTAACGGTGGAATCCGGTTACCAGATATTTTTCCAGATTGTGGGGAAAGCCAGGCCAGAAAAGCAGCTCGGGTAGTTCGAACAAGCGAGTAGCAAACGGCCACTGGTAAAGATAATTTGCTGAAGCTAATATGGTGGGGTTACCATTTGAGCCGTGAAAGTAGAATAGTGTTTTTTGAGCATTAAGGCAACAGCTAAAAGATAACGAGGCATTGTTTGTGATCAGAGAGTGTGCAATGGGCCTGCAGTGTGATAGAGACCTTGGTAAACCAGAACCAGATATAGAGTAGAGCATACAGAGTAACCACAAGATGGGATCCGGCTTGAAAGATCAAGGAATGGATCGTCCCAGAACAGAAGCTTGAGGCCAAATTTAAGGAACCATTAAAAATGGGCGCCCGAACTGGGGACTTTCGGGAAAATCAGCTGATGTACGCGGATATTCACCGACAGAGACACTTGAGGACGACGAACACCATGGTGACTTGAGCATAAATTTTCCATCATACTGCGGGGGAACAAACAAAATATGGTGTACAGAAAAAATGCATAAACCAACCGCCCCTGGTGGATTTGGGCCAAATTTAAACGATAGCCGTTCTGGTGATTTACTTGCAAGCCAAGTGTATGGATCAGGTTTAAAAACCCTTCGGAAGCCAGAGATTGACAGAAAACTGGAGGGCCTCCGTGGGTGATCGTGCCAGTGTGCTGGGAGAAGCTGGGTGTTATTTTAGAGTAGCCGTTCTAGTGATTTACTTACAAGCCAAGTGTATGGATCAGGTTTAAAACTCTTCGGAAGCCAGAGATTGACAGAAAGCTGGAGGGCCTCCGTGGGTGATCGTGCCAATGTGCTGGGAGAAGCTGGGTGTTATTTTAGGTTCCATGATTTTGAACATCTTTAGTTAAATAAGCTCTCCATCTCTTGGAGTGGATTGAAATTTCCATCATTTTTGAAACGTTTGGTCCTCTTAGGAGCTTCTGATTTTCTTCATCGGGTTATGCACGTCTGCCTTCTCTGATTCGATCAATCAAATATTCTGTCCTATATAAAATGCTCCCCAAAAATTGCTAACCAGCAAATAGTAAGGTTTGATAGAAAATCTTCCACTTGATAAGCCAGCGTTGGGTTTAGCCGCCAGTTTTCAGTATACTGTAGGTAATTGTCTTTTACATCTTTTGGATGGTGAAAAGTGAATAAGTTTTTTGGCTCAGGACCACTGAACCCTAGGGGGCACTAGTTTATGGATGATGAATTCCGACCATTCAGAATTTGGGATGATCTGAGCTGAAGCATAGCACAGAAGAAAGTGACAGTGGAAAATGGACAGTTTTTTGGAGCATAACGTTTTTTTCTGAGAGCCAAACTGCAGCCATTTAATGCTAAACCAAGGAACTCAAATCTGGCGCATTTAATTGCATTGATTTGACTTTCTGCTAGTCAGCTCTTCGCAACTCATAAAGAAGTTTGTTGAAATTTCAGAAACCTGATGATACTATTTTTTATTATTTTTATTATTACATTGGGAGATGGGGCATGGGACATCTGGTCACTTGTTTAACACAACCCTAGTGGCCATTAAAGCGTGGTGCTCCCCCGTGGCTAAGGCTGTAGACGCGGCTCACGCTTTTTGATATGTCGAAGGCTGAATTGGCTTGTGTTTACTCGGCTCTCATGCTGGCGGATGACGACATCGATGTCACAGGTTAGCGTTTTTGTTTATTTTCGCTGCAGCGGTGGAATAAGTCAAATTCACTTAATTACGTGTTTCAGCGTACATCTAGTAAAACGGGCGACACAAGAGAAATTAAGAAAATCCGTATGCACCCGTAGCACTCAAAATGGCGAGGCAGCAACGGGCAGGACAATTGTCGGAGTAGCCCAGTGGCCGGGTTATGTGTTTAGTCAACACCACAGACCCGGTTTTTGTGAATTCGTCTGGAAGCCAGCTAAATGATCCCTGGTACTTTTCGACAGCTTATTCGTTCACAGGAACTTCGAAAGGGACGCTTTGGGATCCAGCAGGCCGTTGGAAACTCGCTTCGCATGTCGGGTTTTAGAGATGTGGGTGCTCCATTCTCCATTTCGCGTGCGCTGTAAGTTAAGGATGAGTTGGCTAATCGCCCCGTATCCGAGTCAGGATATTTCAACAGTCAAGCCCCGAAGATCCGTGATTTTGCTGTGTGAGCTTGGGTAACCTGGGAGTACCACTGTTTCCTTGGGGCGGCATCACAACGAGGCACTGACATACAATTTACAGTACTATCTCGCTCGTGCTTTGTGCAACTTGGCATTCGTGTTTCCTTGGGGGGCATCACAACGAGGCACTGACAGACAATTTACAGGACTATCTCGCTCGTGCTTTGTGCAACTTGGCCTCTCGGTCTGAGTACCTCGGAGAGCTACAGAGTTTAAATCATTCGCGACTTCGAAACCCGAGTTTTAGGACGCTGCCGAGTGTTCAGAGTTCGGGAGTTCGCGAGGAATCCGGGTCACGATAAGCTATTCGGGTTGGGCATATTGAGTTTGCTGCGCATGCCTACTGACTGCTTTTTGTTACAAGGATCAGAGGAGCAATAAATGGGGCTATTGTCAAACAAAGCACAATCAGTATTGACATCGGTTCCCTTCCAAACTACCGTGGTATTGTTTTTTCAATGATTTGAAATAAGAAGGTACGGATGGACCAAATAGAGGATGCTGGCATGCCCTGTGTATTCTGAGGTGCCTACACCTCTGAGCACAGCCGGATCTTCTGGGTGGGGTTGACACGATTTGCGTCGCAAGTGGCTAGACACTGCATCACACGCTCATGGTTATAATTTGTGGCGGTCTTAATTTCACTTCCTAGTATGATAGCCCAGCTGAGCTGTATCGTTATTAGGGCTTTTAGCTGACCATTCCACCGATGGCGCCTTCATTGGGGCTCAGATACTTCGATTTCGTCGCTGTGTGAGCATCTTGTCTTTGATCATTGTCCTATTGGTCATGTGATCGTTTTGATCAGGTCCTTTTTCGGCTTAACCAGTCATTCTGGTCGCGTAGTAGCTACCATTACCTTCTGCCAGCGGTGCTTATGCTTCTGCTGGTTGTTATGCAGTGGTTGAATTTGGGGTTGTGGACGTTGTCTTCAGTACTAGACACTGTTTTGCAGTCTGCTAAGAATGACCGCCTGTGCTTAGTGGCAGGATGTTTATAATTACGGGAATCACAGCAATGAATTCGGACCTCGCATTGTCCATTTGTGACCATAGGTCGTGTGTGATTTGAGTCGGCATTTGGGTGTAGTGTTGTTCGACTTTAGCAGGCAGAGGGAGCAAGAGGGCTCATGGTTGGAGCGCGAATTTACTGACCAGAAGGTCCATGGTTCAAGCTTAACCTCTGCCTCTCGACTTCCCACTTCTAGGTTTGGGCAACCTGGTAGTGTCCCAGCCCTCGTTCTTCCTTTGGGTTACATGACAGCTAGGCACCGCAAATTTGATACAGCTGGATGGTTTATTTTTCATTTTGTCAAGTTTGCTACAGCTGGATGGTTTATTTTTCATTTTGTTTTGTAAGCAGAGGAAGCATCGTTGATTTTCCTGTGGGAATGCCTTCGATCCGAACACAATCCTCACTCGTATGATAGATCCGAATGTCCCTTCCCAGTGGGTACCTGTTGTCACTCGTGCGGGGCAGGCTCACTGGTTAGAGCGCGAATTTAATGGCCGAATAGTCCGTACTTCAAACCAAGCCCGCCTCTCCACTTCCTCTGTCTAGGCAGCCTGGCAGTGTCCCAGCCCTCGTGCCTCCTTTGAGTGACATGGCAACTAGGCGCCGAAAGTGTTACAGCTGAACCATTTTTTCTTTGAAACCGGTCACCATAGTTTGTTCCAAGATATTCGCAGATTTCGATGATCGGGCTGAAAGTTAAACATTACCGGAGTTTACTGTCATTTGATGTCTATCTTCACTGAATCTAAATATTTCGCTCAAGTGTGCTTACAGAATGATCAGTATTTCTCGAGATTTCACCTTTGAATAGAAATCACTTGCGCCCACCGGTATCTCTGGAAGGTTCGTTTGATCTGATTTACCACCGTTCGATGATTTCATCATCCCTTTTCTGATTTTAGACCCATCGGAACCCAGTTCCTCAATGTTTATTTGTGGTTTCATAGTTACCACAAACAGCCTAGTGTGATATCTCTTAGCAACTATTTGAATAGACGTGCACCTTCCATGTCTACTCTTCTCGTGCCTTGGCAAACTGGTGTTGGCTTAATCTACTTGACTTCTCATTTTAGCGGATAAAATCCAGACGATATTGAAGGCCGCCAATATTAAGTTCGTTGAGCCTTACTTGCCTACCCTCTTCTCTAATGCACTGCACGGAAAAAACATCAAAGATATGCTGATGAACGTCGGATCTGCTGGAAGCGGTCCGGCAGCCATCGCCGCTCCTGTCGCAGAACCGGTTACTGAGGCTCCTGCTGCCGATAAGAAGGCTGCTGCAGAGAAGAAGGAGGAATCAGATGCCGATTCTGATGGGTCGATGGGATTCGATCTGTTTGGTTAATAAAATTCTGTATATTTGGACTGTCATGTTTTCTTCACTGTTTTTGGGCCCGCTTTCACCTAATGGTGAACGTCGCTCTTGGGTCTTCGATCACATTAAAGTTTACCTGTTTGTGTGATAGACAACTACGACAGGTTGCTCGGTTTAAAGTAGTTTAAGCGAATAATTCCTTGCCTTTCAGGACGTGGTGGTTAGGTGTTCTCTTGAATTGGTCCGCCAAATCTGGCGATGATGTGCATGTTAAGTGGTAGAACATCTGCAAATGAGGTATTCCACGTTCCTTAGGTGCCGAGTTTGAAGGGCTCCAGTCCGTTGGTCAGGTGGTTACTGGTTTCTACAACTGGGATCCCAGTCTCCTGGTGTACGTCGCTGTGCGTCCTAAAATCCACCGGGTGGTCAGGTTTTGTGTCGAGTGGTGTAATTTCGGAGTGATGAGGGTGTTCCAGTCCTGGCAGTATTGTGCACGTGAGTGTTGCTAGCAGCGTGCCACCAGGTGCATCAAATTGGACAGATTCGTTTCCCACCTCTGTTGCTCCCATGCGGCGTATGGCACTCTAATGGCAATGGTACACTGCTGTAGATCCACGTCAGTTTATTTGGAGGCTCGGCGCAAAAATAGGGTACCTGCTCATACAGTCCTCAGGTGATGCGGATGCATGCTGACAACGGGCATCTTTGGTTTCAGCTTGCCTCCCCATCTTTCAGGTTCTGTAGCCACTTTGATCCCAAAGTTCAACCACTTACTCGCCGGGTCAGACGTTGCCCCCTGCCAGGCTTACATAAGCCGGTGTTTGCTCTGGAAGGGTTAGTCTTTCGTAGGCGATTACTCGGCTTTAGGTCTCTGCATTCGCTTCGTACAGTCCTCTGTAGAAGTTCTTAATGCATAGAGCAAATGTTCGGTGACCACACCACGTATCCGTTGGTATCAGTTTGAGGCACGGCATTCTCCAATTTCAGAGGCTTTCTTGCATTGGTCTATGATGCGATACATGTGGCATTTGAGCTTTACTGCTACACCTCAATCGCCGCAGATGGTGCCATCTGATAGGTGCGATTCTGGACTGCGAGGTGTGCGCACCGGCCTGTGTCGCACTACCATCGCAGGCGCTGCCACTTTCCTGGTACATTTTCGCTGTTGAGATGTTTCGTGCCCTGCAGCATGATTGCGGAGTAGTGAGCTGACCCCAACCTTCCTCAAAAGCACTTGCACGTTTTCTTCGAAGACGAGACAGCCGTCTGAGTGCTTCAGTTCGGAGGTAGTTCCCTTCCTGACGAACGTCTGGCTTGTGGGGACATTCCGGACATTTCAATCATCTCACCACTGAGGTGCCTTACCGTTCAAATAGAATAGCAGTTGTGGATCTGTCCGCTGAGGTTGGCAACTAACAGTCGCTTCGTCACCAAGCGGAAGACACCGTCAGCGCAAGTTTAATGATGTCTTCATTCTGTGCCGAAATACTGTACCTAAGAAGTCAGGTCCGTGTTGCAACTTTCCGTAAACTGTCGAATTTGGCGGCAGATGCTCTTTGGTGCAACTTTGTTTTCCATTTATGTCGATGTACACTGATTGAAACAGGAACACAGAACCGCACTTCTGTCGTGCACGTCAAGCCTTCAGGGGGCTCAGCATTTACATTTCACCCTCCGTGTATCTGGTGTTCCTGACACTGGCTCGTGTTATCTGTGGCGTAGGGGCTACAAAACCTTAGGGTTGAAAGTGGCTCAGTGGACTGGGACCCACTAAACAGTCGTCTGTGCTCTACTTTTGTCCGGTTTAGTAAAGGTCGGTGCCATAAGTGGTACTTGTTTGCCGTGTCGGCGGATTGCAATTCTGAACCTGAGAGGCGGATTTTATGGAGGCTTGTCAACTTTGGTCAGCAAGAAGGGTGGATACAATCATCCTGGCGAGCGATACGAACGCTGATGTTGGACGACCAAGTCCGAGAGAAGTTCATTTGGATGGTTGATACGGAATCGGTATTTTGATGTGCTGGACAGTGTGTTCCTGGATGAGACGCGCACTTCATGGCCGGGAGGTCCGTGGTTCTAACTTGACCCCGATTTCTTGTTTTCCGTCCACTACGGTAACCAGCTAACTCGTCGACCAGGAGTAGATAAGGATCAGTTCTGAATAAGCGTCGTCCCATCTTAAGGAGCCTAATTGAGACGTGCACCCATGAGTGGTCTGCTATCGCTGCGAACGAATCGTCTGATCTAAAGTGCGAATGCTGGGGGTTTCTGCCAATGAGGCTGCCCGGGACGGACGTTAAAAAGTCATGGCTCTAAGTAGTGCTATGGGAACAGCAAACAGCTCGATGTCGAATTGTCAGTCTATCGTGAGTCTATCTCGTCTTATTCAGCCCTGTACCTTCATGCATTCGCTGCCCCCTCCACCGAAAAGACTCGTTCCAAAGTATCATAAGACACTTTGTTGCAAAGCAAGTCTCAAGGTGAAGTGGATTCACAGTCTATATGACCAACAGACCTGTGACCAACGTCTCCGTTTATGTGTTAAATCTTCCCTTGAAAGAAAGTCTGGTTGAGAACCAATGATCTCAGCGACACGAAGTGTTGATAGCCGCAGTGAACTGTGTCCACAGGAAAGATTGCAATTACCTTCAAAGAGGGAAATCATCCAATATTGACTTGAAACCCAATCATTTAAAAAGAATAAAGATTGCGCAATTTCCGGCATCGAACACCCGAAGAATTTTGCTAGTTGTATAGCCGGTTATCCGGAGCATATCATCGCTCTCTGAGAGACCATATTTGGGTTCTGAGTCCCATTAGGTTTAGAATTTTGTCCGGACGGAGGCAAGTTCCGTTCTTATGTTACGTCATCAGCTAGTTATTTCTATCATTCATGTTGAATTGCAGTGCTCCCTCGAAGGGCGCGCACCTCCGGGACCAGTTAAAGGCTAACTGTTTTGAGGGGCGAATGCTTTGACCCATACTGTCCTGCTGGTTCTTTGTGCAGCTGAAGTATACCAACTGGAAAGAGGAAAATAGTGAACTCAGAAGTTCTGTGTTGAGAAGCTGGGAATAAGATGTGAATAAGCAGCAGAAAAACAACCAAACGTCTGTCGCCAGGCAGATACCTGGCGACATCTGTATTTTGAAAAACAAATAGGGGCGCGAACACCTGACAGCCGAGGAACGATTTGAGTGTATGCGTTCGCTTGCTTGGCTGTGATTTGAAGGATATCTCTGTCAATTTGATAACTGGTTCCTGAATGTCTTCCATTTAAGCCGCCTTGGCATCACAACTGCGCGCTCGTTAGAGGGTATACTGAAACACCGAAGCGTGCTCATAATCCAGAGCTCATATCCTTTAGCACTATATACACATATGTGGATATAATGCCGTGAATAAGGCCATACCTTTTGGCTTGACCCAAAGGTTCACCCAATGTCTTTCTGTTCAAAGTTTTGGCTTTAGAAAATGTGCATAGGGTACAAAATACTCTTGATCATACCGACGCATTTCTTTGTGTTCACCATGAAATATGGTTCGTGTCTTTACTAATAGCAAACTGAGAACTGACGCCAAAATGCGTTCCGTTTCTTCGATGACGATTCCGTCCAAATTAACAGTTTCGGAGTGGCTGCTCGTTTTCACTCTGCCTGATCAGCAGCTCCGTATCTTCCAATCAGGGGGCACATTTACGGGAGAAGATTTTCGACCTGGGTGATCAGGTTGTTCTACAATTGGAAGCACTTCCCTCGGAACGGATTAATTCTCAAAATAGCTCGAGGGATTGCGGGTGTGGAACACAGACTTAGTGTCACTTGTGGTACATCGCACAAGTGTTTTAGGCAGCTTTGTTGCTCTTAATGACTCAGGTAGTCAGTTTACATACGTTCTGTATCTCAGTACTACATTAGGATAGCACATATTTATAGCAGTTAGATTACGGGCTTACTCTGATCCTTACGCTTAAAGCCAGGAACAGTGGTTGGTTACACTACCTCAACGAAGCTTGCATGCTATGCCTGTAATAATGCTTTGGTCCATACCAGCCCGTTGCACCAAACATCGTGCAGCAGTAGAACCATATATATGCTCTCATGAGGCATCCCACCAATCCTGAATTCACATAAAACCTGAAATGTGCAGGAGAGTTCAGTCAAACAATCACTGGTATTTAATGTGACCACTCCAGTCAACAGGGCTCTACTGTCTAGTTACCATAGCTTTCACCTTGCGCGCAACTACGCTAGTTTTCTTATTGAAATGTGGGACTTGTGGTTGCTCGTAACGGCGTAATGTTGTTATGCGCTTAACCAGTTGGTCTTGCTTGTTTTTTTCGCACTGCAAGGTGTTCCGGCATTCAGCACGCCTCAATGATTGTTAGTGTGGGAAACCCTGCTTAAACCGGACTTTGTCCGCCTTTTTCGTTCCAGTTCCTGGCTTACACCTCTAGGTAGCAACGTTCTTTTGATTATTTTGCCTACTGATCAGTAGTCCGGTTATTTATCGAATGCCTTTCCGATTCGTTGGTCATCCATCACTTTCCGCGAACGATAGGTTGCGTTCCAGCTCCTCTTATTGCGCCTATTTATCTGATTTGAAATTTATGAGGGAAAGGCAGATAATTCTCGCACTTACATCTTGTTACTCTGTGCTTTATGTGTGCGAAAACCACATTTAAACAACAGCGCCTATATGGACCAGTCCACCGTTGAGTAAGTTTGTCAATTTTGGAACTTCGCGGATGAATCGATTTTTGTGTAAATATCGGGCAAGGTAGTAAATACTGTATCCACGTGACATCCTTCCTCATGTAGTGACTAAATAACTTGTGGTTAAATAGTGATGGGAATCAATAAATGCAGATTCCTCAGTCCGGAGAGGCAATCTAGTGGAACCGAATGATCAGCTTCTCTTACGAAAGTAGTGTCTTCTGGGGATGAGCAACCGCCCCTCTCTTCGCAGTAGGTGGTACTTTTGATAAGCTTTATTTTGTTGGATGGCATGCCAATACAAGGCGTGCAATTTGCAGATTGCCCAACCCCACCATTCTGTCGACAAAATGCAAATCGATGTTTTATGGAGAACAACTTAAATTAAGCGACGTTTGAAAAACATTTAGCGAGTAACAGATCCAGCTTTTTACACATGCATTTCACTGTACTATTAAGCAAGAACCCACTTGTTTCTTTTCATTTCGCGTACGCTAATTGAATGAATAAGTAAGTTGTGTGCTGCCAAAAACCACCCCAACCATCAATAAATATAATCTTGAGGTTCCAAGTACTGATATATATATATATATATGTATATATATATATAGCACTTGGTTTCGGATTCAGCAAGAAGCACAGCCAAAAGTCGTTATGTCTAACGTGGAGTTCATAGTGTCTGCCAGACCATACTACTGTTTGGTAATTCAGAAGGAAGACAGTTTTATTTGTGCTTTTGAGCAAGCTACCGATGAGTAAAATTTCGAGTTCCTGTATTTCACAATAAAACCTTTTACCATCCTACTCCCAAATGTTTAGATACGGTCTGCGATTCAGACAATTAGTACCTGATAATTTTCTGAACGACACGATTTCGGGATCTGGACTGAAAATGTCTTGGCATTTTTTGCTTCCGGATCTTCAGTGAAGCATACTGACGCTCACCGCGGCCGCTCAGTACGACCATCTAACATTTTTACTGGTAAAAACTGCCGTTTCTAACCAAAACTGTTCTGCTTAGGTGGATTCTGTAAGTTGTAGCATGACATACTAGTCTATACGAACCAACCAGGTCGCAGTTTTCCACATCGTTGAATGCCGAATCCTCCTATTCATGACGTCAAATGACGTGTTGTTTCATAGGTCTGATAGTGAGATGTGAGTTGGAATCAAAATATGCCTAGACCTCGGCCACTTTGGCCGCTTTGGTTTAGACCCAGTTATGCAATCTTAATATAAGGTCTGATGATGAGATCTTGGCTAATACTTATGTGGAGAACTTCGAACATATGACTTTAGCCGGACGACAGTGTCCATGGAGTATTTTAACGCTAGGCAGATGACGTGATCAAGCATAATCAAGCGAACCAATTCTACCAATAGCTCTAAACTTTGAATCTTCACAATAAGTTTAGCGTGAAGCAACATTCACTTAAGGTACATTTCTCTTGGTCAGATATAATAGATTGCTGGAAAATCAAAAACTACTTTTTACCACAAAACAACGGACGCTGGTGTAGTCTTAAACCACCTACTAGTCCACCCGAGAGCAGTAAATGTCGGTATAGCTTCAATGGTTTTTTTATTCGAGCAAGAGCGCCGTGCGCCAGAGAGGTCGACCTAACAACAATGCATGCTGACGTAGACACCAAGACGGGCATTGACCCCAGCACAAAGAACACAGCACACAATGAGCTCATCGGGACAACATTTATTAGAAGAGTGTTCAATGTGGCCTACATTTGAGCAGCATTCCATAAGCGAAAAACTTTACGCTCAGGAGCAGTTGAATGACCGACTCTTCGTCTGCAATAGTAGGGTATGTGCATGCAAAGTATAATGTAACGACTCCACGGACCCAAGTATTCAAGACGTTCCACACCTGAATCCAAGAGCATAAGCCGTACGCAAACAGATGGCTATCAAGTGATGGTTTGTGACTCGCAATAATGGGGCACGCAATAGATACGAGACAGAGAATGGATGCAAAAAATGCGGAAGTTTTGAGACAAACATCAAGGCTCAAATCATGGTGACTGGTGGGCGAAACTGCCGAAATCTTCGTGCATCCTAGCGTGACCAGAATAGACAGTGAATTACTCTGAAGCAGTAGAAGGCGGCTTCCGATTAGCCGAGTTGACACGTGGCGGTGTGCGGTTGTCAACGGAATAGTCTGTGTTCTACGCACAATTAGAATGCAATTAGAATGCAACTGCGTGAATATATCCAATCCCAACCCAAATGTCCTAGCTCACACAGGGCAACAATTTGTGATTGACACCTAAAATTAATATTCCAAAACAAGATTCTGAACCCCTATTCGACTTGAAGATATCCCCTCTACTCGATCTGTCATTAGTGTTAGTCATCCACGTTAAAAACTATTCTGACTTGCATTCGACACTGATTATTTTGATATTTTTAGGGAGGTTTTATTGATTTTTCTCCCTCTGTTTTAAAATTAGATCAACCTGTTATATTGCTCACTTAGCTTCACGAAGCATTTCTGCCAAAAGCGGAATTTTCTTAAACCTGTCTAAAGCCATTAAGTGTATGATTCCTCGTTTGAAGTAAAGTTTGCCACTTCCTAAAGTAAACATAGAAATGACAATCTGATTTGTTATTTTTGGGTTTCATCAGTCCAGTACCATGCAAAACAGGTTAACAACACAAATGGTTGTTACTTCAGTGTCGTATTACTAATACTCGTAATAGCTTAGTAGGTATTCTCATGAGGGAATCTACTCACAAGGTTGCTGAAAACTCTTCGATAGCCCACGATTGGTTTCGCCCTTCTTGGGGCTCGTGAGGTAGGCACAGTCCCCGGGTTTCCGTCAACCTTATGTTCTAATTGAACTCAAGTTGGACTGTTTTCGAAGAATGCACTCACTTGCTTAGTAGGTAGTTATATAGAAGGGTAGACAGCACTTATAGTGCAAACTGTAGGTTTTAGAACCTACAAACGGAGGTGTCTCAATAATTATCGACAAGAATAAGAGTGATGGCGCTTGTCTAGATGTAACACACTGCCTTATGCGAATGAGAACACTTACCGAAATGCGTACAAATAGGATTCCTTGAATCTGGCTGGTTGTGACGATCGGTCCTGTAACAATGCAACAGAAAGTATATACCAACTAGCTAATCACATGACTGGATATCAGATAATCTTCAAATACTACATAAACACAGCTAGGCATGGAGGAAGCACCCATTCAACTGTTCACTGACGATGTCTCCTCGACTGGGGACGAGACGTTTGCAAGCCAATTGCCAAGCTCGGCGAAAAGATAAACTGCCATCTGATCAACCACCAGTAAACACACCCGAGCTACCTTTATTTCGACAAAGTGACAATGGATGAATGTGCGCTTGGTCCATTCACCTCAGTCACAGTGAAAAATTCCCTCAAATTGACATAAACCTCTGAAATATCCAATCAACTAAAGGATAACACCTCTGTTGGGAAGGTATTTTAGCATATCGGCTGGGTGGTTTTGCCTACTTTGTAGTCATGTATGTTTATGGCGCATTACGTGCTAAAAGTAGCTAATTTATTGACTGGAAGCATTTATTAGGATGTGACAGCTACGTCGGTCACAACTAAACCGTCAGAATATTCGAACAGTGAATGAGATCTTATTCAGAAACTGATTTGTATGCACCAAAACAAAAGCAGCTGAACGTTTGTCGTGATTACGAAACGTGTGATGACATCGACTGACTCTGTATAGCTTGAAATTTTGGATCGTGCAGTATGAAAATTCCGCCGAGGAAAAATTTTCACTTGGCTGTTGTTGGCGGAGGCAGAAGAAACTTGGCAATAATCAAAATGATTCTCCTGTACAATGTCGAAGCCGACTCAAAAAGTCGAGGAAAATATAAAGCGCTCATTGTTGTTTTTTGGGTTTTACGGGAGATTTTGGGCGGATTTTTGTCCGCCTTCAAACGCACCGTCTTTTCGAATATGAGCTGTTTAAACCCATAAACATTTACAATTCGCGAAAATTTCAGTCGAATCGATTGTTGAGCGAAGTGTCAGGCTGTAGGTCAAAACACGTTCACATTTGGGCTTGTATATGTAGTTCGTGGTTGATAGTCGCCGCTCTAATGTTTATACTAACACGATTCCAGTTTATCAAAATCTCTGTCCGATTTATTGATTTCGGTTCGGTTCGCAAACAATGGTCACTACATAATGTCGTTCGGATTCACCAGAGTTGGATATTATAAATACTGAGCACTCCTGTGAATTCAGGTTGTGCATCTTCATTATGATGAAAAATTCCAATTTATTCGCTTTTGTTGCTTCTTTATCCATTGCATTCATCCATATTTCCAGAGGTCTTATTCCTGAAGTAAGTTATTTCGTTGTTTTGTACGTTATACTTGGCGATATTAACGTAGTCACAATGTGGACAAATTTCTACACAACTTATCACCACTGATTTTACACGTGTCTTCTTGGTATAACTGCCTCCTTTCCTGTACAACTGTCCCAGGGTGGCTACCTATTGAGCCATTTCTTATTTATCAGCCTAAGAGATGTTGCCGATGTCAAAGACCGTTTCGGAGTGCTGTCCACTCAACAGTTTGCATTCCGTTCCAAGGGCACGGGAATAAAAAATAGGCATCTACACTGAATAAGCGTGCGGGCGGAATGCGGATGTTATTGTTCGATAAGAACTCGTCTGTTCACAGGAGTCTCAAATGAAAGTAATATAGTATTCTTCAACCAAACGCCCTGTGCAAGGGCGCTTCCATGCTTCATTTCCAGGGATATTCGAGGTATTGAGGTATATTTCAATATTTTTGGCAACATAGTGCCAGTTTCACCTTTCTTCTAGCTGTTCGGGTAGCTCTCCAATCTTCATTAATCTTATTTTCCAGTTGAACACAAAACTGTGAGTATGATGCAATAAAACTTATCAGTAGAAAAAAAAGGTTGATAGAGATTCGGAACCCGGACGTTAATGATGATTTTCACGAAGGGAGATACCAATAGTGGGCTATCCAGAGTTTTTGGTGAACTTAGAATTAGTAGTGAATGGTCTTTGTCGGCCGAAAGTACATCGAACAATGAGGACCTGACTATTTTAACTACCAACCCCTCAACGTCGTTCGCCTTATCGACAGAATAAACAGAACAAACAGCAACTAAAAGATAAAAACGAGACCTGGTCATGCCTATTCCATCTTTAATAAACATGGGATGACTATGTCGTTAATACATCGTTCTGATACAATGCTCCTCCGTTGCAGATAACGTCTTACAGGATCACCAATAGGGTTTCATCGTTAGGTTTTTCCGTGCCAGCAACATAAGAGTGTACTTCAGTGCCGTAACTTCTGAAATAAAGCGTTCTTGTGTCCTACAGAACCGTGCTCCAGGTCATCAGGAGTTAACTTTTCAGTCGAGAGACGAAATCTGCTGGTATATGCAAAAGAGCTTGAAAAATTCATATTTCACGATTAAATTTGCGTCTTTGGCTTCATCCATAAACTTTATGGATAAACATTCCAAATGCGAATGGGTTTTAGGGAAGAAAAACTGTATCTAACTCTACTTCAGATGTAAAGACCAAATTTATCTGGTAGCAGATAAGATTTCCACTTTTTTCAAGTTTGTTCTCGCAACATCTGAGCCAGCAGGATGATGTTTGCACCGTGGATAAATCACCATACTTCATTATATGACTGGTCCTGTTCCTTTTTCTACAGCATGTTTCCAGCGTCACTTCACGGCAACTAACCTGTAGCTTTTTAATCTCCATTCATATGACTTTGGGAGATGAAGACTAAGACAAAATCAGACAGAACAAGTAAAACGACCTGATGGAGAATGTTTTCTGGTGGGAGGGGGGCGGCCTATATTTCCGAACAAATATTCACAATAACGGCTTCATAAACTGAAGCTTTGTCGTTTGGTCCAAACGGTGGCAGCGGTCTTCAAATCCTTACTTACTCGATGATAAGTTGGATGAACGAAAGTCCTCCGAGGTCCACCCTATGCATTGCTGTTGGTACTCCACATCAGCCGCCTAATGGGGACCACAGGGTCTTCACATACTATACATATAGGTCTGCACCTTTTTACAAACAAAGGAATGCAGTTTTAGTGAACTATCAACGTGTAAAACGAAACCTCATTATGATGGACCTCTATAGACGACAAACTCTTACCTTCAAGAAACGACATTTTATGCGTAAACTATCGGGTATGCAGAAGATATGGTTTAACCCCATCTTGGACGAAACATGTTGAAATGTGGGCTGGTTCACTCGATAAATGAAGGAGTTCTGTAAGTTCTTGGTTTTATCATTTGGTATTTTTAGCATCGAATATTATGTTACACCCTTTATCGATGCTTCCGCCATTCAGGTATCTTCCTGGTTGAGATTAATGCGCCTCGCTGGAGTCATTTGTTTATCACTTACACAACTCGCTCTCTCGCCTCCTAATGACGGTTGGCATATTTTATTTCATCGTACTTTAGCATATGTCTTTTCTATCAACCTCAGGATCGCGGACAAGCCACATTGAAAATTCGATGGCAATATCAAAACAGAGAAGCCCTGTTAGAGAACGGTGAACAGTGCGAATTCTATCGGAGCCTAGGATGTACCATACACCTTGAACTTTGTCTTCGCCATGGAGGGTTAGTTTGTAAACAGTTTTTGAATGAGATCTTCCCGACTCATCGAAAGTTATGAAAGCACTGCGTTTAACTTCGTCGTATTTTGTTTGTGCAATTAGCTGCCAAACTCCCCTCATAAGGTTCTCTAAAAACGACGAATTTAACAGCGTGGAATATTTAACATCCTGCCTTACATTTTGCCTTCAGGAGACATTTTTGAATGACTGAATGACCGAGTTGCTTCTCAACGGAGGAGAAACAACGTTTAAAAGGCTTTATACTATTCACGTGGCCTTACCAGCTTACCATCATTTCGAGCCATTGGTTTTCAGTACGTGCAGCAACGTACCTGTCGTAAAGGGATAATCGCCCAATGGACGTCGTATGGAGGTTCCCTAAAGGCTAGTAAGGCTGTAGTGCCACGAAAAACACTAGAAAATGCTTAAATTTGATGCCATGTGTGCTCCATCCTACAAGTTTGCACTCTTTTCGCCAAACTCTGTACAACATATACTTGAATAAAAATACTTTTTATGCCCAATCCTCAATGATGGCACTACTTGTGCTGCATACCAATGCTTTGGATCGCACTTCATATAGCTAGTCCTGCCACACAAGTTGGCTGCGTACCACATTTCAGGGAAGACCGTAAGATGATAGAGCCGCTGCAGACAAATCACACCACTTCGAAACATAGCCTCCTATAAACTCAAACCAGTGAGGAGAATCACGCAGGGTAAGAAGTTATTTGCCTCAAAAGCAACTAAGCCCAACGTCCGTTCCGTTAAGGGAGCGGACGTGAGCTGTCTGCTCAGATAGCTCAGATAGCGTTTGATAAAATGGTGAAACACGTCGCGGAAGCTCAACGCAAATATAGAAGTTGTTATTCTGTGCGCAGTGAACTCTTTGATGAGGGGTACCAATTCGACATAGAACACAATCTGGTCATTCATCAAATTTACCCTTAAGATTTCCGAGCATGATCTTGGCTTTTCATCAGTCAGTCTCTATAACCAGGTCCATTCTCTGAGGGCATGATAGTTCCGGATCTAGGGGTGATCCAGGATCAACTGGAACTTAGGCTCACACGTCTCCACTTAGTTGTTTATATATTTATGAGTGTCAGCTCACCTCGAGCTAACCAATATTCCGTATTGCTATGTGAGGAGATTCTTGAGTCATCCGATGAAGATTTCGTCATGTTGGTGAAATTGATGAATGCTGGAAGATCGAGAAGTGCTGTTTCTTCCGTATCGGATACCGCCAACAGTGTGCATCTCATGGAGTTTCGAAGCCGTGACCTCCGGGCTAAAGGTTTGAACATAACGGTTTGGCAACGAGCGCCTGATCATCAGTGAAATTAGCGTGTACTTATGCAAACTATAACGAAGCTCATCCATCAGTCACCGCATCCATATCAGACGGCCACACTTATTAACTGGCTTCTGTTCTTCGTATCGATTTTTCAGCACGGATAAACGTCACTTAGAGGACCAAATTTTCATTCGGAAATGACGATGGTCCATTCTGCTCTGTGTACCACTCGAAGTTCCACCGTTGTTCACCAAGTCGATTAGCATTTAGTTTTACGAGATCTGTCAAAAGCAAGCGTCGCTCGAGGTGTCCATTCTGTGGGATATCATTTTTAGGCCGTTTATGTTGCCTGTTTTTCAGTACCAGGTATTTGGTCTCCATAGGGATATACATCAGCAACTCGCTGACACAACTCAGTTGTTCAAAAACTTGTCTACCAGGAAAGATGGGCTTTTGCTTCCTATTAGGCTATGATGATAATTACATGGAGAAAGACCACGAAGAATAACTTATCCTCATAGTTCTATGGGAATCACCGTAGTGAAATCATGCCGTGATCCGATTGAAATTTCCCGAAGGCTAGTAAGATTAAATTGTAACTTACACCAAAATTGTATGTTGTATAATGTTCATACCAAGGAAGGTTAGATAAGTAATTTTCCTCGGTTCACGCGTGTATTTGTGCCGTTCTGAAGGTAACTATAGTTCCATAAAACTGAACACGGATAAGAATGAAAAATTACCACTAAAAGTCATGAAGATGTTGCGCAAACAGGCAACTTACATCAGAAAACACTATTATCTATGTGAAATGGGAAGCCCTTTAGCACTAAGTAATTCATATAAATTGCTCACCGGCATGCCTTTTATCAAATCATAAAGCTCGTTGCAGTTTGAAGTGCCCAAGCAGTAGTTAATTTTTTCACTGCGCTGAACAGGTCTGAAAAATGCACTCCAGTTAATACATAAGGCATTTCCGAAAGACCTCAAATTTCGGTGGTCAAAACGCCCTAAATAGTCACAACGATATCACCTTCTTTGATCCGTGATGATCCCCAATAGACATTGAAGTAAAATGTCAAACAATAAGATCGACTTTTGCAAGAACATTTTGCGATGGTGGTTCATTTGACGTATCTGTCACATTACATTCAACGTGTTTCGTTTGAATTTCCCAATGCATCAACTGGCTGCCCGATGAAATTAATTTATGAATGACATCTGAAAATCCAGGTTCAATCTTGACTATTCGTGCACCACTTCCATTTGTGTGGACTAGCTAGATATTAAAACTGAGAAATGATATATTTTGGAAGCTAAATTAACAAGATCTGTTGCCTTTCAATCTTCTTCCTCAGTTTCTGCAATTAATTTATAATAACTGACTAGAATTTCCTCCAAAACGATGCAAACTATTTGACACTTCTCCGGTTTTACTGCCTTGTGTGATCGCATTTGTAATCTGCTGAACAATGAAAACGAATCTTAATTCCCATTGTTCAAAAATTTAGATTCCTCTTATTACTGAGGAGTACTGAGAGTACTGAGTACTCTTGGATGAAGTTACCAGAGTCATCCCGTCCTTTGGTATGCACTTTGCGCCTACAAAGTGTAAGGTCATGCTCGTTGACGTGCAGTCACTGAACACACCATTTACAATCCAGGGAGAGGTACTGGAAGTTGTGGAGCGTTTTACGTACCTTGGAAGTTGTATTAGTTCTGATTGCAGTGTGACGGATGAGGTGAATGCACGAATCTGCAAGGTTCGAGTCGCGTTTGCTAATTTGAGGCACCTATGGCGTCAGAATAGTTTATCCCTGAATCTGAAGGGACAGGTGTATCAAGCTACAGTAGGGGCTGTTTTGTTGTAGGTGTGAGACTTGGCCTATTCGAGCAGCGGAACTGAGACGTCTTCAGGTGTTCGACAATCGTTGTCTCAGAACCATAGCTCGTGTGAGTTGGAATGAGTGGAATGTGAGTAGAATCCGTAACGAAGCAGCTAGAAAGAGCGTTTTCGGTTGTGCAACGGGTACTTCCATTGGAGAATGTATCCAGCACCAGAAGCTGCGTTGGTTAAGACACGTGTTGCGTATGCCGTACCATCGTTTGCTGAAGAGAGTGCTGTTCTCCATGTCCAGTTGAGAGTGGCGTAAACAGAGAGGTGGCAAGCCCTTGACCTGGTAGAGGAGTATGAAGGTGATCATGAAACGCTTGGGTGCTGTCGGTGCTACTTGCCTTCCAGGATGATGACCGCGTGATCCTCACTGTGCCTGGTTGGAGAAACTACAAGATATGGCTGACAGGCAACGTCAGTGGCGTTGTTGTTGTCAGTTTCTTTCCAGATCACCCGAGTGAATGTCCGGAAGTGTAGGCACCTCGGAATGATTGGGTTAAGCTAGCACTAAGTCCCTTCCCCGTCCAACTTTATTCTCTACAATAACGCTTTCAAAAAAATCATGGTCGTACGGCAGCGAAGCATCGGTGTTGAACACTGATGTCATGCTGTCGATGATGATGCTAGTTCGTTCCTGGTTACTAGAGCCTGGGAAGCAGTAAATCCTCGTAAAAACTTGGTGTTGTACAGTCCCTAAGATTCTACGAAGGACTGTGCTCGCAGCTGAACCGGTGGCAATCGATCTATTCATCCAGTTCGGTAAGTGCCTTTCAAACGTGCGAGCAGATATCGTCAGTGCGCGGTGGAACGGTTGTAAGCCGGTCGTCAAGCTCAGCAAACAGTTCAGCTGCCAGGAAACTCACCCGAACTATTAATATTTAGACGTACTGTCAGCCACAATGCTAGGTATAGGCTTCACAACCGTGAACGCTTCCCAAATTAATGCAGTGGGTAGATATTCTATATTTCAAATCACACCTATCCACACTTGTTGAAAAATTCATCTGCCCGACTCTGATTCTCTGGTTATCCAAACTGCAAGAGACGTGGTCAGTCTGTTTTGTTGTCTATCTGGTCTCTGTGACCGGCCTTTGCGAATGAATATTACAGAGATGTTGTAACAAAATTGGTTGATTTCACCGAAAAACAATCGAAGTTAACTCAGTTACCATCTTTTCCATCTTTTTGAGGGATTACCTGAAGGACTGCACACTGTTCCAATTGAGAACAAAACGTTACAAGCGAGTTCTAACATTGACGGATGAGGCAACAGTTCGGATCCGCCAGCCATTACCGGTAAGTGGAATGGTTCCCTTTTGGTTCATTTTTGCAACCATTGAGATTGCAAATCACTTGAAAAGCGTATATTTTCATACAGATTGCAAGTCAATGGCAATTTGTGAAAACAATTCTCATGGAGCTCGGCAAGGCGCACGCAATCGGTTACCAAGTTGGGAGTGACGGGAGATTCAGGTGAATCTTAGTTGGATATCTCGTTCGTGACGTTCCCCAAACAAGAGATTCAGCGGAGTCAGCCGATTTGATTGAGTGCTTCGTTAATACAAAGTTAACTTAAGAACTTAAGACTCGCTACTGTACTGCAAAGTATTGTTTACGTAAAACATAAGGTTGACGCGAAATCAGTGGCTACGCCTTCGTGACGTGCTTCAAAACAGCGCAACCGGTCATGAGCTGTCGTAGAGTATTCAATAACTTTGTAAGAAGTGGTATATTATGAAAAAGGTAAATATCGTGTAAAAGTCTTTTGAATAATTATGAGAGACACGGTTGTTTAAGCATATATTTCAATGACTTTTTCGCACACATTAAATAATAGGCCCTTATATTTAGATGAATTTTACAGTTCTACTTGGGCCTATTGTAGAAATTCCTGTTGAAGTTAGACAACCTGAACCGTCAAGGGGATATTTTATCAGTTCCACAAACAGAAACAAACCCTTCTAAAAGGTTACTATATTAACAAGCGGTAGATTCTTTTTACCTGAAATTCCCTTCATTATTCCCTTCCTACTTTTGAGATTGCAGTTGAACGTGCTCAGTTTGCAAATTATAGACGCAAACCACTGGGTAAACTAAGTTCTCAATTTGTTCCGATCAATTTTACTCCTAGAATACTGCACCCGATCGCTGCGTAAACTGAATGGTGTGCTATCTGCATTTGTCTTGCTGCCTGTTTACAAGCCAGCGATGGCCTCCGAGGTTTTGTTTCGGATGTTTGTTCCAGCTTGACCCTTGCAGAGGGTGCTTGCCACTCAAGAAATAAAATGCGATCTTTCCTCCTGACGTTTCGAAATCCGTTTGTTGGGTATCTACATTCCAGTAAGGCCAAACTTTGGCACGAAATTTCCTAAGCTGCTTCAGGGGCCATAGTTCTGGTTAACTTTTGTACCCCTTTTCTTTCTGAATTTTTGTACCGAGTTTTCATGACCTTGTACCCAATCAATTCTGGGACATTCGCTCAAAATGATACCACCGATCGTACCGTTTGTGCGTGGCGTGAAGTGGTTTCACCCTTAGACATAGCATGCAAACCATGGCTGTGCTCTTGGGGGTAAGGCTACGAAAAGCACAAAACAGGTACAACTTTGACTGGTCAACTTGTCTACGCGCGTTGGTGGGTCTTCATTCCACGGAACGGTCCTAGAACGATTGGCATAATCTTATTTTTACCTTGGCAAGCCAGAAAGACAGAGCCCAGCGTACCGATCGATCAATACGGTGGCTTGTTTGAGTGCTTTCATGGCTTGCTCTTGCGACTCACTGAATTTCGGCCTGGAGGCATACGTGATGAACGTGTTTGGTCCGAATTCACATGCACTAGCTCAGACGTCTGTGTGAGTTGCTTTGCACACGAATCAGCTGTTTACAGACATCTATGAGTTTTAGGTTTCAGCTGATCTATGCATGTGATAATGCAACTCCATCAGATGAGGAGGGTTAGCACACAGCACCATTATCTAGGTAACCTCAAATCTGATTGGGAACACTTGAGAGACTGAATTTTGAAAATATCGATCTCATGGGGAGCCATCAATACCGGTTTTACTATTTATACCAGTTAAAAAAAGCATCACGAACCTGTGCTCACTCCGTGACACGATTCACACTTCTTACCAGTGGTAATGTTTTGCAGTGTCACACGAAATACCCAGTGATGCCATGCGGATGATAGTAGTCGCATTGATGAAATTTATCTAATTATGCTAACATAGTGGGAAGGTGCTAATTTTTTTTTATCCTACTGTGGAGTAGCGATCTGAGTAAATAGGAAATCGATTTTCCTGGTCAAAAATCTGTTTTAGTCAGATAACACTGATACACCTTAGTTTCGCAAACCATTGGATTCGATTTGCCTTGTTCGTATTGTATTTAAAACCTAACCGGCAAGGTATGCATTTATTTAACTTTCGTTCGACAAGTAATGACTAACGCATAGCTTTCAATTTGCACTGTCTTTTCATCATCTTTATGTAAAAAGAAAACGATACATTTAGCATCGATTTCTGCGTACTGATCGACGCTTAGTGAGTCAATTTGACTGATATTCTCTCCGATTTCGATGGCTATGAAAACGGGTAAGTGATGTGTTTCTCCGTGGGTGAACATGTCATACTGTGGCTGGCGAGCTTGTTGCTTAGTAAGGGCCTTAACGTACCTACAAGTGTCTTACTGACCAGTCTTCTTCAGACAAGGATTTCACGGCGGAGGATAAACTACTATGGGACTGATGTGCGAGAATTTCAAAGCAATTGACAATAAACCTAATAAACCTAATAACCAATAAACCAATAAACGGGATAAAAAGAACAACCAACGGAACCACCCGACAGAATAACTAATCGCGGTTAAAGGTTATGCCCGGCTACCAGCACGTATATCAACACACACGTAACACTACTGAACGCACAACCACTAACCCACCGCTACGCACAACTACGCACTGATGATGTCACCTCGATTGGTGATGAAACGTTTGCAACCAAATTGCCCAGCTCAGCGAACAAGCCAACGACCATAAACCTAACTATCCGAAGCCCTCCTGTTAAAGTTCTATTGTTTTTGATAATGCATAATATTCACTGATTGAAGGCGAACAATACAAAGGAGACCCCGGTTTGGAGATCAAATGGAACATGAACTTGGGCATAAGCGGGGATCATTTTCGGATTTTATACGTTCAACTGACTTACGGAGAAACGAAGTTTCAACATGTTTGATGGATTGGTAATTTTCGGAAGCTGAATAACTCGGTCTTAAATCAACCAAGTTGACCGGTGTTATTTAGGAATTGTCAGTCAAAGTGCATAATCGGCAGAATCGGTTTGGGTATGATAAATGCAACTCGAGTCAGTCAAGATGCACGTAACTACCATCATCTAATACACACAGCACACATACAAAACCTGTAATCGGAAACTAAAATGCTCCAGTTTGAAAGAACATGCCCCCGTTCCTGGTTCAAATTCATGTAGATTTTCCAAATATACCCTCTTCTGTAACACTCAGTCATTCACCTTGATTAAAACATATCTGCAACCGACAGATAACGCTGACCAGGTCTATTTTCAGGAGATCCATCTCGGTTTCTGCTCCCTCCTCGAGGCTGAATCAACTCTGTTAACAACTCATTTTTCGCGACAAAACGTTGTCGTTAAGACTTGTCTGGCAATGCACCCACTAACTGTTTTGTGAGGCTTTCTGAGCAGAAGATCATCCTTGCTTTCTGCCGAGAACTCTTAACCGGGAGAGTTAATTCAATTTAGAAGCGACACGATCTTACACAACTAGTCAGCAAGGCTAACCAGTCAACTCTGAATACTTATACAACCGAAAGAAGAGAATATTCATGGTTCGAATCCCGTCGATCCCTTCAGACAAAGTAAACCACAATGTTACTTTTGTCATAATTCCGTGCCCAATACCGTACAAGTTTAAACAACCTTAGCAATAATAAATTGTAAATCACCACAAAGTCTTTTTCGGGATTGGTGAAATTCCGCAAATAAAGCTAGGTTTTACACGGGTCTTTCATTTGCATCATCTAATCGATCAGTTTTGCTCTATTTTTCTCTGTAGGCCACATACACTTTAGAAGTTAAAATTGACGCGATAAATGTGTTGAAAGAAACCAAACAAGTCGCTTCTTTTGCGGCCTATAATTTCAAAGTCCCCTCCAGAGGAGATTCCGTCCCCATACCAATAAGGCGTATCACAAATGGCTACAGAAATCCTGCAGTTCGGTGAGTATTTGTTGAAACCTAAAAATTGGATTAAGCTAACACTCCCTGTACAGTTCTCAGACACGACTTAAACCCTTCTTCTAAGAAGCCTACAAACTCTGACAAAAACCTCTTCAACAATTTAGTCGTCTTTGCTACTTTTTGAAAATCATTTCAAGATCCGGATGGCCACTTGTGAACAAATCAGAATGGCCCTAAACGAGAATGATTTTTGGATTGAATATTCGTGGAGGAACATAACTAATAGAACAGTTTGCGTTCACTTGGATGACGTTCGCCAGGAGTAAAATAATCGGAACCAAAAAGGGCAGAAGAAACAGGGATTGGTTGGCATATACAGCTGTCCGGTCAACCTTCTGGAAAATTCAGTTTGTCAAGGCATGACAGTAACTTCTCAATGGGTGGGAGCGGGGGTTAGCTGGTCAAGCCATTTATCGGTGCTTATGAACCCTTACCGCATAGTGGACCGAGGCTTTTCATCGTTTCGACTGACACAAAAGGTTTGTAGGCGACCTGCCAAAGCTCCCATTCGGCACCATTTGGTGTGCATTTTGGCACGTGTGTGAGCCGAACCTGGAGAAGTAAAGCATTGCTTTTCCTTCTAGGTATACAGAGAAGTCGGTGAGGCTTTCTCCGGTTTTTGGAATTGGAAGGGATTTCAAGGCGCAAATCCTTGGCATAAGTAGCGAATTTCTACTTGCTTTCAGAAGCACGTAAACTTCCCCAATCCCGCGTCGGTACAAAACAGTTTCCTTTCCAAAGTCAACCTGACTGATTACTGAATGACTGAAACTCCATAAGTAAAAAGTGTCTATCATCTCAATTCAATCATCACATTACCTATGGAAATGAGACTCGAGGCCACTTTTTCTAAAAATAATATTGTCGACAACCCCCAACGTTCAGGTCCATTCTTCACATTTTCTATCTTGGCATGACGTTAACCCGCCATTCAAAAAAATGTTGATCTAAATGGTGCCAGACTTATAAGCAAAACTGCTGGTTATTCCTTTCTTACACTTAGGACACCGTATTAATTTGGTTTTGCAGCTAACAGGTCAGAAGTTTTTCGTTGTGGAAACTGTTCCTCTATGTTCAGTGGATTGTGGCTTTGTGTGTTTAGCCTGTATTTGTCCCGAAAAAAATAAAGGGAAAACGTGCAATTACATTACAACGAATGCTCCTGATGTTTGAGTATTGCCATTTCGAAGTGTATGATCGTAGCATTCGTGTGGAATCCAGACACCGAAATTGTCAGTGGTGTTTATTACGTTAGACTTCCCATTGGAGCGCAACACATAATCAGATTGACACTTTCACTGTGTGTGTTCTTAGCCGTATGGCCGTTTCGTGAAATTGTACTGAAGCTCTTCTCAATTCAGTCATAGTCATTTAAAGCTAAGTTGCTACGCCAATCTTGAAACGCAGTTCTCCAACTGTTTCTTGTGGTCTATCGGAAGTTCATACGGTACGATGATCGTTTAAGCCATCAAAAGTTATGCAGAATTGTGACTTGATAGCGAGATCTGTAATTTCCACAGTGTTTATTAGTTGTAGGTGGTTGCGAGATCTATAAAATTTACTTTCACACCTGTCCCTGCGCCATTATTCCGATGAATTCACATCAAGGGGGAAGCATTGGACTCAAGTTTCCCCTAAGTATGGACGCGCGTTTTGTTCAGAGGTGATAATTCGGGTGTACGCTGGTGAAGTTTGAGCAACACACTCACATCACGTGTCAGGTGTGTGGAATTCAATCATAGGAAATGCCAGGCATATGCACTACTGATTAGCGCTAATAAGTGCGAGACCCGAGTTCACTGCTTCCGTCCCCTGGTATGGACTCGCCAGAATAATTACATCGGGGAAGTAGTGCGACTGTTCAAACGAGCGTGATTGGACGTGAAACTTACTTTAATCTGGAGGGTAAAGTCTGATTGCATTGGACATTATTTAACCGTCGTCGGTTACCCAAGGGTAAATTTTATTGTCACTGTTTACTACGAAGTACAGTAACTTCACCTAAGATTCCATTTCAGTAAAATTGCCAAGGCTGAAAACATTTGGAGTCGATCGTTGGACGAAACGTTTGCGGGCGATTCGAATGGTTGGATAAGAGAAAGCTTGCATAATTTTTCTGATTTAGCAACTGAGATGTGCACAGTGGAACGGGAACTGACCTAGCACTCTCGCTTGCCGAACTAAATGTGTGTTATCCCCGAATTTCTTGAGATATCCGAAGAGACCTATCACTCGGCAAAGAGAAACGGCTTAGTGAAGTTCGGCTTAAGCAATTTAGCATATTCCGCAATCCAGGTAAATAAGTGTCATTTCCGCCGATCACTGTAGAACCACTGTATTTGTAGGACTGATCTGGGACACAGTTTTGGCAACTCAAATTATGTTGTGCCATCAAGTGGCGAAACAGCTTAAAGATACTGCATGCCCAGATCAAACCAAATAAATTGCGGGTGACACATGTGTGCTCGTAAATGGGATCGTCAGGTGTGTGCAATTTTTCTGTTTCTGTTTTCGTGAACAGATTCAAACTGATTGTATGATTTTCTATCAGCGGTTGATGATGCTAAATATCCAGTTTAACATCAGTAGGCGGGTCAGAGAAAATACTTTCGAGTCTGACTATCGGTGGACACCAGGAAGGAATGCGCATCAATGGATCCATCGTATACCTTAAAATGCTCTTCTAAAATAGCCCGCTGATTTAAGAAGTGGTGATCACGGGTGGGAAACTGCCAGATTAGACAAATCTAGTTTCCTTCTCCTTCGTGTTAAGATTGGGACTTATTTGGCTACGTGTTGCATTCAATTGAGTTCACTTTGGTAATGGTACACAAGCGACTGAAGTTTACATCTGAGTTGAACCATTCGTCTGAAGATGACAGTCGTCTTCTTGTCAGGCCTCCCATCAGCATTCCAGCTATCGCACAAACATAAACTGCGCCAGCAACAGCTATTACAAACTATTACTGTCATGCTTTGATATGACTAAGTTGGCGTCTTATTCGCTGCATACAGAAACACTACCGCCGATTCCCTTCGGGAATTCTTCACCGGTAGCGCTGCTTCCTCTTCCACTCCGCCTGATGCCCACTGTTCCGTATGAACGTTCAGTACCCGTACCCGTTGTTACTCTTTTTCTCTCCATACCATCTACGCGAAGAAGAATAATGCACCTGCAAACTTTATATTTTTGTGTGAGTGAAAATGTACAGCCGACTTTCATTCTGAAGAATTTCGATAGGTCATCATATACAATTCATGCCTTGCACCGGCTGACTTTTCGAAGATTACCTTCTGTTTGTGCCATTCCACTGTAAATGGCTGAAGTTTATTATGCGAGTTCGCATCATGTGATCATTCTTCTTCAGGCAAAAAAATCCGGGGTTTATTCGTAAATTTGCAGCAAGCTCAAAGTGTCTGCTAGGTTATCAACTCGCTTCTCTCATTCATTGCCTTTGAAGTGTGTGAGAAGTACATGTTATCATTGATCGAGCTACCGTGATTCCATGGAATAAATGCCTGTTCACATGTTCTTGTCTGTGGTCAAGCTAGTTGCAATCAGCTCAAATAATCTTCCAACTGTACCACACTTCCGGTGAAAACCTGCCACGTATCCCAAAGGAAGCACGAGGGCTGTGGTACAGCCCGGTAGACAACAGCTATCGATTCACAAAGAAACGTGATTGAACTGGTGTTCTGATCCGCTGATATTTGCACAATCTTGTTCGACCTGGAACTGCGGAACTATGTTGAATGCCGTGACAATAGAATAGCTAACGAGCAGTACTACTCATAAAATCGACAAAATCTGTGAACAGCACCATGCGGATTTTAAACTTTAAGCTCATCCGATAGGCATAGATCCGAATCTCGGTCATATTCATTTCCTCATTGAACACCGTATTGTGCCTATATTGTGATAAACGCTAACTTTACCATAAGTCCGCCTTGACAGAAAAATTGGATGGATTCTTCTTAGTTTCTGGTTTGTGATATTTTCTTCTCTGAATGTGATGGGCGAAGGACATTTCATATTTCGCCTGAACAAAGCTGCATCTGTACTACTCACGGGTACAATGAAAACCGCTGACAGTAAACTGCTGGTTTCGTCCTTCTTAGACCTAGTCCCCGAATCTCCATATACGTCTTTCCCATTTGAATACTGGGCGTATATTCTAATAAACGCTCGTATGCAAACTCACTAGATTTTGGAGGACTCAGTTGTATTTCCCCATGCTCTTTCAATTCTGAAAGGAGTGGCAGCTAAATTCCAAATAAGCATGACATGACTAGCCAAATGTAAGTTTACCGTAACGTGCAATGGGCACTGCCCTCATGTAGTATCCAGTCTTGTCATGCAAGTGGCTGGCATTCGGTGCGTATATCCACTTTCTATTTGATCAAGAGCTGCAAATGTATGCAAATGTGAAGCCTGCTAGTGATTTCAAAGCCTGTGGGAATTTACGATGATTGGTAGAATATGCATTAAAATAACAGTGTTGGGCAAATTTTTGTCCCCAACAAGATTAGCATCTGGATTTGTGGACCCAGCCGTCGGCTTCGCTGCGATCCCATCTCTCTCCCTCTCTCTCATAAAAAACGCAGTTTAAACCACTGTAGTCAATCTCATTTGATCAGTGCTGATATAGGTTCAGCTTCATATGTGATCTTAGTATGAACGTTAGTTGTGTGTGTCACCATATGCTGCATATGTTTTGTTTCTTCTTCGATCTGTTAGGTTAACAGTGTCAGGCATTCTCACGTGCGATGAATTTTATTTTGGAGATCGTTGTCAACACCATTGCAGGCCAAATGCTTCCTCGTACACCTGCACACCAGAAGGTCAAAGGATATGTAATTACGGTTAGTTATTTATTAATAAGCGTTCCAGTACATGGTATTTCGAATTGTGGAAAACTCTACCAGAAATGCATTAGATGTAAAATATCTAGTTGAAAATCTTGAAGTTTCGAATGTTTTCATCTGATTCATCTTCTAATAAAGCGGTTTACTCATTGGTCTCCCAATCTATTGAGAGGATTGAGATGTTTCTTAATCGTTGGTTCATTCTTAGAAACTTCGAAAACACCAGTCAGACTTGGCTAACAGGTCAACAGTCAACCTGTCGCCTGCTTCTTTTTAATCAACCTGACTTATCAGAGTAGCCAGAGCAGTTGCGCCAAGACGGGAGAATGGTTTTTCAAAACAAGGATGCTGTAGACACGATACTTTAAATTGGAAACGACTCATGATAAGTTTTACCTAAAACTCACATACCTAATCGCTAAATTAGTTCTGTAAGGCAAATGATGGAAAGTAGGGTTTTTACATGATGTAGCTCGGTTGTTCGTTGGCTGGGTCAACTAAAAGTATACAGTTCATTGGGCTGATTGAAGTTTAATTGAGTCAAGTCAGCAATTAATATCTTATGGAGTCAAAAACCGATCGAAATGTGACAGTGCCAACAGTCACGTGATCCGGACATCTTAGCTTTGCTTATCGGTGCGGCAGTGGAACAGAACAGCGAATGTTCAAGGGACATCTGTTTCGTTTTCGCGTTCAATCTCCACGTTTGTCGGAAATCAGCTAGTCGAACTAGAAGGAAAAAGCCATGGTGGATTGGAATAGGTTTTACAGTGAAGCACAAGTAAGGAAGCATATATCTCATCATGGAAAGGCACCCATAATAGCTAACATAGTAACGGCCTTATCATGTTTCATTTTTCGACTACCTAGCACACATTTGCGGCCAAAACTCTTTTGATACCTTACAGTGTGATAAAATCATGAAAAGGGCCGTATGATAGTTTGATGAATATAAGAGATAGTTCGGATATATGATGCAATATGTTCCCAGGTGGGATATCCGAATGGCTAACGAGATGGAATATGTCGAGAATTTGATGTCAATTGTTTAGAATTTGTAACGGTGTATTTGCTGTTTCACGAAGCACTTGACTCCCGCTAAACCACATCTAGAGCATGATGGCACATTATTCGTCTACGCTACATCTTTCGCTTCTGCCTGATTGGACATGTCAGTTGACACAAGTGCGTTACTTGGGAGGTACCATATCCAGTTTTCTGGTACTCACTGGAAGTTCTGTTTGTTCGTGAATCTGACAGCAGCGTTCTCAAAACATAACCGTTGCAAGAAGGCCGTTTGCTCCAAGGATGATTCCGGAATTCCGATATACAATGAAAATCGCTTTACCGACGTTATTCTTCTTAGTAAAAGTGTCGTTGTGTGATACCGAAACTATTCACGCATCAGCTTTAAAGTGAATTTTTTCCTGTAAACTTCATCTGGTAGGTTATCGAGGCGCCCTTTGTGACATTGTTGACTGGTGCACACTTCTACCGTGCGTTGGAAAAGCCAAATGCAAACTTCTACCAGACGGAAGTGGCAGAGAGTGCATATGTCAAGAACCTGGAGGTATGTGTTTCGACCTTTCATGGACTGAGGTGTGGTTCCACTCTCTGAACTCCGAGGTGCACTTTGGATTGCCGTTGTTTTTTCCTAACCAACATAAAACGGTCGTGATAACCTGCACAAGAAATTGACAGTTTTGTTTATTATTTTTATTATTATTTACTATT